CCCGGGCCAAAATAGTGTTCGGGTCAGGGTGCTCTTATAGGAGCAAACGCTAAGTAAACAATGGTAACACTGAATTTTAGGGGATGAAAAACGACATAGCTGTTTCTAAGGGTTTGATGAGAATGTCGTCGTTGTTGTCCTTCAGTCGGTAGACGTCCGGTCGGATCACTTGAACCTTCAATCGTCCGGATCCTTGTCCGCTATGCCCCCTTTCTTGGCCGCTATTTCTATGCCTTTTTCTTCCTTTGGCCCACCGGCCTGTCGTAGAAGGCGCTTGAGGAGCTCATAGTCCTTGTAGAGGTGTTTGACGAGGTAGGTGTGGTTGGTGCATGGGCTCTCCATGAGCTCGTGGAAGTGGCCCGGAAGGTCCTGCTTGGGCTGCTTGCTCGTGTGATCAACCGTGGCGACCAACGTGGAGTTGGCCGGTCGGCGGTGATTTCTTTCGTTCTTCTTCCCCCTCTATGTGGAGGGACCCTCGTCCTGATCCTGGCACTTGGCCTTGCCTTTGCCTCGGCCTTCATTGGAGCACGGCAGGAGCGGCGCTCGCTGGATGCATTGGTCAAAGGCCCGTGGTCCCAGGCCATCCGGGCTAGGACTCCGATTGTTGCTGCGAGCGTCTCGGTTTGGCCCGAGCCACTTGTGCACAGGCGGTCGGTGCGGAGCGGTCATCAAGTCAAGACGAGGCACCGATGTGGCCTCTTGTGCCACACCTGGCGGTTGTAGTGGTGAGTGGGTGGAGCGACTTGTCTGCTGCATCCCCATTCCCCTAGCGGGGAGTGAGACCGCGAGTCAGTGTCTCGATACGGAGCTCTCCGCTTGTTGAACGACGGCGGTCTCCACTAGTGCCGGAGGTTCTGGTGGATCATCTATTCCTAAGGGTCGTTTGGCTCGGGCAGGCCGCACAAAAGCATTACCGCAACGGCGATGTCCTAATTGGCCTGAGTGAACTGTGGAGCATCATTCCTCCTGTCCATGGTGTTGCGCTGGACTTGACGGGCGCGACCCCGGGCATCGCTCGTCGGTCTATGCACACGGGGCATAGTGTGGTGCACCGAGCGCACTGGCGCAGTCGGTGGCTGGTGCAACCACTGTTGTCGTAGTTCCTCGCCGTGCTCTCGTGAGAGCGCGGGGGTCTCCGCATGAGGGTCCAGAGGGGTGTGAGTCTGCAAGGACTCTGTTACCACCGGTGGCTGTCCCGGAGCATCCACCATAGTGCACTCCCGGGACGGACGGTGGCTAGGCGCCACGTCACCTATGCTGGAGCCATCACTCTCAACATCGTCATCCATGAGGTCGAGAAAATAGGTGGGAGCATAGCTCACCATACCCATGAATTCAGACGTGAGAGGGGGTAGCACCGGTTTCCTTTGGAGCCCCTGGGCGTACGCGTTCGTGGAAGACACGAGGCCATAGAGGAACCGGCCGTATGGCGGTTGCGGCGGGGACAACGGTGTCCCTCTGGGTAATCGACGAAAGATAGAGAATAGCAAGTAAATAACAGCATATACATTACTTACAGCGGGGTTGGAGCAGAGAGTTTGCTCGGGATGAAGCGCAAATGCCTCGTTGTTGAAGTCGTCGTGCGTCCTAGAGCCGATGGAGGGCGCCCCTCCGACGGACGCTGGAACAAGTGCCTCCTCGCGGAGGTGTAGTACATCGAGCGATGAAGTCCAAGCTTCTAAAGAGGAAGACATAGGACGGCTCGGAGACTAGTGGAACCCACATCTCAACAGGTGGGAGTGCGGGAAACTCCAGTGAGCCGAAGTGAGTCATATCGCCTGAGTCCGCCACGGCGAAGGTGGCGGAAAAGTGGGCCATCCGATGACCAAAATGTGTTGAACGTACAACGTCTTCCCACGGACGACGCCAACTATCGGTGCAGAAAGTGACCAACAAGTAAATATTTATAGTTTTGTCGTACGTTGTGATCGGAGGTGGCCTAGCACTCAATGACACAGGGTTTATACTGGTTCAGGCAATGTGCCCTACATCCAATTTGAGTCGGTCGATGACTTTATTCCTAAGCCCAGGTGCTCGAAGTTTGTAGTGGGGTTACAAACGAGAAGGAGAAAGATGGGGGGTACAAGAGGTCCGGTCGGACTCTGGTCAGAGGGACCGAAAGCGACAGGAGCCCCGCTATGGGCTAAGTGTTCATGCGTGTGCTTGAGGTTCAAACCTGGCGGTTCCGTGGTTGTGAACTAGCGAACTTGATCGATCTAATGAATCTGGGATCACTTCACTCAATCTCCCTGTTGGTAGAGAGCGCATCCCCTTTTATAGATGAAGGGGATGGTCTTAGAAGTGAGAGGGAAGGAGTACGTTTGCTTCTAAGCCTTGTTGCCTACGCCGGTGGGTACATGATGATGGTAGGCGCTCACAACACTGTTGGATGTCAGATACACGTGGGAGGTTATGTCGTCTTGTTCGAGTATCGCATATGTCGGTACCTGCTGTTACTATTGATGCCCAGAGGCATGTGAGGAGTTTCACCATATTCACTCGGTACGGTAAATGCCGGCGCCCACAACACCGTCGATGCTCAGAGGCATGTGGGGGGAGCCTTACCGTATGGGAGTTAATGGCGCCCACAACACTGTAGAAAAAAATGCTGGCACCTACAATATTGTTTGTGTCAGGGAGGTTGCAGAGTAATGTTTCTGCAAGTGTACAAGGTACGGTCTCTGGTATCGTGGTTTGACTTGTGCGCCTTGCTTTGCTTTCTCCGTTCGTTCCCTAGCCCTTTCCGAGCGGGCGTTCACGATCGGTTGGTCCCAGTCGGCTCTGATTGCGTCAGTCGGAGAAGAGTAGTGAGTAGGATTTTTTCGTACCCCGGTCAGAGACGTGCGGTCGGAGTCGGAAGTAGTGCTTTGGCCAAGCCTTCCGGTCGGAGAGGCCGTCCGGAGGCGGGCTAGAGACTGAAGTGAGTCCTTCGGTCGGAAAGGTGGGCCGGAGTCGGAAAACGGGCGTCGCTCCTCCTCGGTCAGACCTTCCGGTCGGTGATTGGATCACCCTTCTGGCCTGTTGTTTAGATACTTGGGCTGGCCCTGTGAGTTGCGCGTTGTCTGCTTGGGCTGAGTCTTTGTTGGGAAGCTGATCCCCGAGAGACCCCGGGTTTATGAACCCGATAATTTCACTCCAATCCATTTCAACACATATGGATTGAGATGAATACATACACATCCAAAAGACCTTAAGGTGACACACAGATGGTTGGTTCATCAAAAATTGTTGTCAATTAGTTATGCCAAAGCTATAATAGTCCGTTTTGGACTTTTGGTGGATCGGTCCTTTTTCTCTCATTTTCCACTTTTTTTTCCTTCATGTGTTGTACAATGGTGTGTTTCTTTACTTGAATTGCAAAACATAGCATCTTGAACTCATATAATCTACTTTATGCTCGCTCATTTCTTCCAGAAAGGAAGAACAAAGGGTAGAGAAACATCACCAAACGGAGTAGAGATCCTCCAGCTTTTGCCAATTGAGCTTCTAGTGGATTAGTTGAACTTTTTCTATGTGGAGATTAGTTGACAGTTGAGAGAGGAGCGACTGCTGCAAAATTTTAATATCAGCTCCCGTCGCTCCACTATTTTAGGTGTGTTTGATTTCTCCTCCTAGGCATTAGTCGCTTAGCCATCAAATGTTTATACACATATATGGAGTATTAAATATAGACTAATTACGAAACTAATTGAACAGCTTACGACTAATTTGCGAGACTACTTTTTTAAGCCTAATTAGTCCATGATTTGATAATATAGTGCTACAGTAAACATGTGCTAACGGATCTTTTAAGCCTAATTAGGCTTAATAAATTCGTTTCATGAAGTACCGACGGATTCTGTAATTTGTTTTTTTATTAGTATCCGAACATCCCATACGACACCCTCACGTGACACCTCCTAAATTTTAGTCACCAGATCCAAACACCCCCTTAGCAAGATACTCTCGCCCTCCATTTGTTGAAATGAGTACTGGCTTGCACAAATAACAAATTATTCAGTGCCTTGTCATGAGTTCGATAGTCTCTAGAACTTTGTTCCCTTATTATTAAAAAACATAATCGCATTATGTCAAGCTCTCCCCTTCTTCTTTTTCTGTAGTGAATACATGCAAATCTTCGTTCCTTCTTGAGAGGAAAGATATCCTTTGTTCAATAAAATACTCAGCATATCTCAGGTATCTCTTGCAACATTAATAACTCACAGTTTATAATTTGCTTGTAGATATGCATGATGTTAAGTTTTAGTGCACTGCATTTAAGCAATATGACACATTACAAGGGAAAATTTCGCAAAATTTGACCAATTCCAACTATAGCAATGTTTATCATTACATTATGAAATCAATTTTGCAACCCCTTGAAGGTTTTGGGATTAAATAGCCATCATCTGAGTTCAATTAAATATATATATATTTTAGGACGGATGGAGTAACCACGTTAAACCGTCTCATGAAATCACCTAAACCTTAGATGGCAACAATAACAAATATATCCACTGAAGCTCATGGGATCTATTTTATTATTCTCCAGTTCCTATACAATAAAAGGATTTCTTCATAATAATATTATCATTTTTTCTTATATTCTAGTTGCCCCCTCACAATTTGTGGATAATATACACCCCAAACCCCAAGCTTGCAAGTTACTCCATTTTTCCTCCCATGGGCCCACCCTAGATAGAGGACGAGGGGGCTGCTTGATTGTACCAATGGCATGAAGAGAGCATGCCTAAACAAGACACCAACAGGACAGCGAGATTGTGACTGAGAGGCAGTGCCAGTGGTGAGGTGAGACTGTGAGAGGCATGTGACCCTCTTCACTCGCTTGACCCTCCTCATCACTCGCTTCTCCAGGAAGTCACGCACCAACACCACCCCAAGTCCCCAAAGAAGGCGAGAACGCACTCCGTCCCTCCCCTCCAGGACCGTCTCCTCGCCCGCTCCTCTCCAGTTTCTCCCCTTCTCTGGGCTCGGAGAATCGGTGAGAGGCGCGCGCGGCCATGGCGTCCAGTGCCTCTCGGTTCATCAAGTGCGTCACGGTCGGCGACGGCGCCGTGGGCAAGACATGTATGCTCATCTGCTACACCAGCAACAAGTTCCCCACTGTGAGCAATTCGTTCTCTCCCTTATCCCAGTTCCTAGTTGCAAGAAGGTTGCTGTGTGATTTCTTGTGAACTTAGGGGATTTCATTCCAAGCCATGGTCTTTCCCTGATTCTGTTTTCTTGAGGACGGTGTGCTGTGCAAAAGCCCGCACTTCCTCAGTTTACTTTGTGTTGCTTTATTGACTCCTGCAGTGGATTATTTTGTTGGCCTCTACGAGTAATTTTCGATTACTCGTTGCTGATTCATCGAATTTGCGCTCCACAGGATTACATACCTACGGTGTTCGACAATTTCAGCGCAAATGTAGTTGTGGATGGCACCACGGTGAATTTGGGTCTTTGGGATACCGCTGGTAATTTTTAATGTTTTTATCTGTACTACTAGTATACATGTGCAGTCTATGTTTTGTTCTACTCAGCAGCAAATCGAAGTCGAAAAGTCTGCTTTTATTAGAGGATTCAGGATTCTTGGGGTAACTTAGAGTTCACATGATCACATCCTTCTCAGGGCAGGAAGATTACAACCGGCTGAGGCCTCTAAGCTACCGAGGTGCCGATGTTTTCGTGCTTGCATTCTCACTTGTGAGCCGAGCTAGCTATGAGAATATCATGAAGAAGGTGCGGAAATGTGCTGTCTTGTTTTTTTTTCATGGTTTGGAATTTCCTAGAGGCCTGAATGTTTATCCTTTGCTCTTTACTCTTCAGTGGATACCGGAGCTTCAGCATTATGCACCTGGGGTGCCTGTTGTGTTGGTAGGCACAAAATTGGGTGAGTTCTGTTCACAACAAGAGCATGTTGATTCCACTTACTGTATATAGTTGGGCGGCTTTGGTTTATTATAGAATATTAGTCATCCTATCCTGTTAAGTCATAAGCGTCTATTTTTCTGTGCACTGTTGGAATTACTTTGGTTTTGGCTGCACTAGTAGTGAACCTTGCAATTTTGATATAAAAGTGATGTTATGATTTGTCTAGTTGCCAACCAAATGGACAAGGAGCCAGCCACAATTTTATCTTTCTACCAGTACAACTTAGTAAATGTGGAAAGCTTTAGTATGAACTGTTTGTGTTTATATGTGATTAATTGACACTTTGGTACCACTAAACACGAACTGCTAGCATCGTGCAGGAAAAATCACTTTAGTAAACCGTGAACTAGCTGCTTTTCACAATTTTTGTTCCTGTCAACACTCATCCAATTACTGCTTGGATGACGGACCCTAATATTTTCACCAGACATTTTTTTACTATCATCTTCCATTAAAAAAAAAACTTACCTTTCTCCGCAAAGATACTCCTTTGTTATAGAGTGTACTTACATATTTGGAAACCATGTTACTTACAGATCTTCGTGAAGACAAGCACTACTTGATGGACCATCCTGGATTGGTGCCTGTTACCACAGCACATGTATATCTCCAGTATCTGTTATATGACAGTATAATGCATTCTGTCATAGAGAATCTTGGTGACCTTGCTATTTGCATCTTCTAGGGGGAGGAACTTCGTAGACAAATTGGTGCTATGTATTACATCGAGTGCAGTTCAAAGACGCAGCAGGTAATTGTGTGCTCTTACTCTAGTATTTTCCCTTTTGTTGCATTATGAAATCTTGCCACTCAGTTGCATCCTGGACAATTGGCTTACTTTGGAATATTTCATTAACATGTAGAATGTCAAAGCTGTGTTCGATGCTGCCATCAAGGTAGTAATCCAGCCTCCAACTAAATTAAGAGAAAAGAAGAAAAAAAAATCACGCAAAGGATGTTCAATGGTGTAAGTAAAGACACCTTTCAATACTGTTCCCTTCTCTCTTTTCTGCTTCCAAACAGGCAAACAGTATGCCCTACTGAAATATACAGCACCATTGCATTGTTCTTGTTTTTAAAATAGTTTAAAAAAAATATTTCTTCTTATTGCTTCCTGAATCATTGACATTATGATAATATACTTGTTCGTAGATACTATCTACAATCATAAATTTAGTGTTTAACAGGTATTTGTTTAATTAACTGTCCTTTCTTTAAATGTCAACGTTTTTTCTTGAGATGGAATATACTTAAGTTTTCATACAGAGGATCAGTGGATGCTGACTTCATTTCATTGCATATGAGAATGCATGTTCTATTGATTCATTGTGAGTTTGTGACCACATTAGTATGCCAGGACTAGCACTGAAATCGATTTGAGTGCTCTGCTTGGTGTTTTATAGTTTGTTCCCTCTGCCGCCGTCTTTTAATGCTTGATGCTGCTATTAAGAAACACCATGGTTACCTAAGTTTAGTTGCTCTTAAGTACATATGTGAAAGAGCATGCAGGATTCCTTAGCTGATGTGGTCTGTTACTTTTTAACACTATTTCTTGTATGCAACTGCAGGAACCTCTTCTGTGGAAGAAAAATGCTATGCTTCAAGTCCTGAATGGTCGAAGGGGGTCTTACATGAACTAATACCATGAGTGTGACCCAAGTTTGCAAAGCTTGAAATCTCAATGTGCTTGTTGCGTATGTGTATATTTGCACCTTTGGTTATTAATCACTAGAGGTAGATGATTGAAACTAGTCTGCTTAAGCGTTGCGCACTGCTGGTGTGGTTAGCTCTATGAGTTAGGCAGTTCGACAGAGGCCAAAGAGATTTTGTTCTTTCATGGCAATGTCACAGCTTTTGTGAATCTGATCTCATCATACTGTCTGTTAGTTTATCCCATGATTCCATGGTAGATCCAATCCATAGCAACATTGTGTTGAATGAGCTTTTGCTTTTTGTGCTGAGCATATAATGTTCCAGTTTTGGTGAAAGCTGGAAGTGAAACTTTCTTCTTTCAAGCTGATCGTTCGCGTGTTATTGTAGTGAGTACGTGAAGCGTCCTAGTCACCCAGAACTCAAATGTGATACAATATTAGTCCCAGAAAGCTAGTAAGTAGTCTCGACAAGTGTGGGTAATGAGGAAATGCCATAATTAGAAGTAGCCAGAACATAATATAGGTTCAAAAGACCCAGAAATAAAAAGGAATCACAGTCAAACATCTTACGAGTCCCACTGTCACGGGCGGGCTTAGTTGGGTGCAGACACGACCTTACTCGAACGCAGCTTCGGGATTGAAATCTGGATCTTCCTCTGTTCAACAAAGCGGGTAAGTACAAAGTACTACATGTCCAACCTTACCCTACCAAAGAGGATAATAGTACGTGCATATGGATATTATTAAGAATAAGGCTTAGTTTTATTTGGATAAGGCTTAGTTAAGCAAGGGTGAGTACAAAGTACTACATGTCCAACCTTACCCTACAGAAGAGGATAATGGCCTTGTTCGTTTGGCTGAATTTGGCTAAAAAAACAAGCCAAAATATTGTTCCGGATGAATTATTATGAGAGAAAAACACTGTTCCGACTAAAAAAAGAAGAAGCCGGATTTTAAAACAAGCGAACGGGGCCAATAGTACATGCATATGGATATTATTAAGGATAAGACTTAGTTTTATTTGTATAAAGCTATCTTTTTTTACACATGCAGGGTTTCATTTCGCAAATACCTTTGTAAAAAGACATTTTTCATATATAAGAGTAATTCTAAAAAAGGGGTTTGTCACAATTTTAAGTGTTGCTGAACACTCTGTTCCCACAACACATGGCCGGTAACCATTTATTTCCAAAATCACACACGCTCATGTTTCTACTCATCCAACCCATCTAGTTGTTGAAACCAAACCATAACCCGTCTGAGACCGCGGACACGGCTATCCGGATAAATTTTACACTCTACATAGGTTGTACACTTTCACCATAAGTAGGATACCGTAACTTGACACCGTCGTGCAAGCACAGATCCATCAAAGCCATCACCCTCCATAGCTGAGTACTGGCGCTCACCACGGGCACACTAAGGCAACATCTCATAATACAATAATTTCCAGAGCTCATTACACTTCATACAGTTCCTCAGTTTCCACATACATCTCTTAGTGTCCCATTGCACACCTGCCTCCAGGTGATTCCCATACCAACTAGGGGGATTTAGACTAAGCCTTGCCACATACAAGGTCGAGTGGTTATACAATAAAATGAGTTAGGTGAGATGAGTCATCAACTCAGTCCTTAATCGATACAAGGCGGATATCTTCATGCTTAACCACAAAAGATACAAGCCACAACATTATGACATCCCACAAAAGGAATCCGATCCGCCCCATCTCTAGGGTAATCACCATCTATAACTTGTTCATTAACTCTTTCACAATACCCACAACTTATCCTCACCACTCACACAGTTTTTATTTAAAATCATTGCATTTGAGAAATCATAGTGATGAGTATCCATGATGGGTACCAAGTCCTAAGCATTTCTAAATAATAATATTTCGTCATAGCATAATATTTATTCCTAGATTTGAGCAAGACAATTATCAGATAATATCAATCCAAGGATGGTTATTCAAACGGGTTTTAGCTAAACAGCGAAAATACCTCGTACGTATATCGTGCATGCAAAATTTAAAACGGTTTCTACGGGTTGTGTTTAAAAATAGGATCAACATGCATCAAAGGGGATTTGAAAAGAGCTCAAATGACTTTAGGTTTCAAAATAGATTTTGAAAATATTTTTAAGTGAGTGATTTTAAGAATTGAATTTTTGGGATGTTACAAACCTACCTCACTTAAAAGGAATCTCGTCCTCGAGATTTGATTGGCTCCTAAACAGGTGGGGAAACTCTTTCTTCAGGGCATCTTCTCTTTCCTAGGTGGCCTCTGCTTCGGTATGTCTGCTCCATTGAACACGATAAATTTAGACTATTTTCGTCCTGGTTTGCATGGTGACTGTGACTAGGATTTTGATTGGAACTTCTTGATATCTAAAATCATCTTGTAAATCAATAGCATCTGGTGATATTTGTTCCTCCGGTACTCTAAGGCATTTCTTCAATTGAGAGACATGAAATACATTGTGTATATGTGACATTTCTTCAGGTAGTTGAATACAGTAGGCTATGGCTCTAATCCTTTGCAAGACTTGGTATGGTTCGATATACCGAGGTGCTAGTTTACCTCTGACTTGGAACCTCCAAGTCCCTCGAATCGGAGAAACTTTGAGATACACAAAATCTCAGAGATGGGCTTTCTTATACTACTAGTGAAGAATTTCTTCTTCTTACCATCAAACTTGACACCATTCTAGTTTAGCTTCTTAAGCATCTTGACGGTTCTTCTCACCATGAGAGCAAGACTTGCATTATCAATCTCATCATCACTTGAGCTATCATGATCAACTTTTGCTTTGCCCCTCTTCTCTTGCCTAGCCTTGAATGCCAAATCTTTCTTCTTGGTGGAAGAAGAGCCATCTTGTGGAGTGATGTGCATGTACATCTCATGTGCATTGATCTTCCCCAATATTTGAGTTGGCGTAGCAGTGGAAAGATCACCTTGATGAAGCACCGTCATAATATGCCCATACTTGTCAATGGGGAGGACACTCAAGATCTTTCTCATAACATCGGATGGTTGGATTTGAGTGAGTCCAAGCCCATTGACCTCCTCTACAATAACATTCAAGCGTGAATACATATCATCAGCACTTTCACTAGGAAGCATTTCAAATGAATTAAGCGTCTTCATCACAAGGTGATAGCGTTCCTCACGCTCACTCTTAGTTCCCTCATGGAGCACACAAATGTCCAACCATAGTGAATGGGCGTCTTTGTGGTTCCGCACACGATTAAAGACATCCTTGCAAAGGCCTCTAAAAAGGATGTTTCTAGACTTTGCATTCCACTTCTCGTAGTGAACCTCATCACCTTGAAGGTTGGCGGGATCCTTAGGTTTTGCGAAGCCTTGTGAGGCGGCTCTAAGCACTCCAACATGTAAAGCCTCTAGGTACACCTCCATGCGAATTTTCCAATAAGAAAAATCATCTCCCTCAAAGAGGGAGGGGGTCCATACCCGTGGGACATCTTGCTCTAGGCGGTTAAGCCTAATTTAAGAAGCACGAGGCTCCGATACCGATTGAAAGGATCAAGATGCCCAAGAGGGGGGAGGTGAATTGGGCTAATTCTAAATTTCTTGCAATCATTAAGCCCTACACTTAGCCCATTTCACCACCTTGTGCCTAGAAGTGTTTCTACTGTTCTACCGCATAAGAGTTTTGCACCTTAGGTTCCAATCCTTCTCTAGCATGACAATTCTATGAATGTAAAGACATGAATTGAATTGCTCAAATGTAAATGCTCAAAGTAAAGACAAGGAGAGGAACACAGCGATGTTTTTCCGAGGTATCAAAGAGTCGCCACTCCCCACTAGTTCTCGTTGGAGCACCCGTGCTAGGGTGTAGCTCCCCCTTGATCCGCGTAAGTATCAAGTGCTCTCTACAGGCTAATTCTTTGACACTCCAATGTGGTGAATCACCCACAACCATTCACACCATGACTTGGGTCATCCACAAGCTCTGCCGGATGATCACCAAGCTTCCAATCACCATTGAGCTGTCTAGGTGATGGCGATCACCAAGAGTAACAAGCACAAACTCTCACTTGACCAAGACAAGCCTAATGAGAAGGGTGGATGCACACTTGCTACTCCCTATGCACTAATGAGGTCCTTAATCTTGGATTATCAAATCTCAATCACCCCACTAGGCTCTTGCTCTCCCTTGCACTCCAAAGTTTCTAAGTTGAACAAATGGGCAAGAGAGCTAAGTTGGACGAGTAGAAGTATTTATACTCCCCCAATCAAAACATGACCGTTACTGTCCAACTCAACAATTTTTGGGGCGACCGGACGCACCAGTCGATGTGACCGAATGCGTCTGGTTAGTATACCACTAGCCAGCACCGAAATATGACCGTTACTATGATCGAACTCCAAGGTGAGTCCGATCCCTATCCACCTGACGTGTTAGGTCAACAAAAATAGTCTCTGGACACTCTCTAATGTAGACCGGACTCGGCACCTTGTGCGTCCGGTCACATTTTGTCCTTATGTCCGGTCCTTAGTCAACAACGAGCCCACACTGCTATGGTTGGTCAGGACCTGCGTGTCTAATCCTTTGCCTGTAGCAGCGTCCGGTTGTCCTTCTACCCCTACAACGTGTGCTACACTGTTGACCGGAAGCGGCACCCGTGCATCTGGTCCAGCGTCGGTCAATGTCCAAGTCTCCATTCACTTCAAATTCGACAACTTTTGTGAACGACATCAACTTCAATTGACCTATGGACTGTCCTTGAGCTACTAGTGCTAAGTTTGACAAGTGTGCACCACACCTAAACTATTAGTCTCACCTAGGTCAAGCTTCTAGTCCATACCCCCTTAATAGTATTGTCGGTGCAGAATGTGACCAACTAGTAAATATTTGTAGTTTTGTCGTACGTTGTGATCGGAGGTGGCCTAGCACTCAATGACACAGGGTTTATACTGGTTTAGGCAACATGCCCTACGTCCAGTTTGGGTCGGTTAGTGACT